AATGTTGGTTTTCTGTCACCTGGGATCAAAATATTAAAGGAACTATCATCATAGTTGATAATGGAAATGCATTGTCGACGAAGAATACTTTAGAAGATGTGATCACCCCTATGGCTTTCATGGCGGTTACACATGATAAAGAAACTCCATTAGTGGCACGTAATCTTCAATTTTTTTGTATGTCATGGGATAAATGCAATGATGAAATGAGTTTGAAGCAAATTCTTCAATCACTGATTATTGAAGAAAAATTTGCTCAAGAACTGGCTCCATTAATTCGGTTTGTTTCTCCATTTGACGCAAAGTCTGCTGCATGTCTTGATTTCCATAATTCTACAAGTGAATGTGCTCCCGCAGATCTCGATACTTGTCAACGATGCGAAATTTTTGCGGATAAATGGCCTTCCTCTGGCCAAGAATTCTGTGCAACATGTCCTCGTTATTTTATTCCTATGAATTTAGTAATGCGTTCTACTACATTTATACTGAATAATCGAACACAACTTGCTGATCAAGTTCAACTCGCTTGTCAGCTGAAGGGATGTAATTCAATCGATAATGTCAATCGAATTTATAAAACGAGCAATATTTCATTCGACTTTGGCGAGTTTTTCAAAAGCTTATTAGACTTAGACAATACAATTTAACTGTCTGCATGAACTATATTTTTAGTAATCTAATATTTTTTAATAGGAATTGTGTAAAACTTTTTTTAATTCTAGTATGTTAAGAAATAAAAATAAGAAACACCTGTACAGTATCATGATTCAACTAGAAAATAGCTATGTTCAATTTAGAATTTGCAGTAGTTTTACGAAATAGTATTAATATCCTGAGATGTAAAATTTCTGATAAATGTGATTACAAACAATTAAAATCTTGAAAATGAAATCTTGAGAGATAGTGTTTCACTAGGATGTGGGTGTGGGCCTTCTCTTTACCCACACCCACATTCACATCCACACCCATAATCTTTTTGATACAAGCTCAATTTATTAGCAGAATTTAATGCGATTTATAAGTTCCTGAGTCAAGATTGATTTTTGACACGGGGAAGGATTAAAAACAGATTCATCATCGAATATTTCTTTTACTCTTCAATAAACAACACATTTCCAAGAGTCGTCTCATTGATTTGTTATTTCTACTTGAAATTATTACTTAATTTGTTTCTAAAATCATTTATATTTCTACAAAAGTTTAATCTTCGATGTTATATAACATTGGTCTTCTAATTGATTGTGACCTAGTAAAGATAATTTAAACAATAAAATAGATGTTTATTTGAATGAAAATTTTTTTTCTTCCGTTGAAACATAAAGTTTTCAGAACAAAATAAATATGAAAGGAACTCAGAAAAATATAAATCATCAAAGAATTGATATTGTTGTTCATTTGAGAACAACGAAAAATAAGATATACTCACCACTGTTAATATATGATGACGACTTGACGAACTGTAAACTTTTGGAATAGAAAGAATAAACAAAACAAGTGAGAAGAGGCCGTCCATTGTTTGAATATTATTTAATTTGTATTTATTCTTTTTAATCCTCAAAATCAGAAGAGACTTCTTTCCAACGACGAAGAAGCTGATTATAAAAAACATTGGTTATGGACCATCAATTTGTTCATACTATAGCCAAAAAAGACTTAGCTTGCTCTTCTTCTAAAGTTCAGGAGGGTTCAATCCTATAGAAAAATTAAAAAAAGGACTTTCGATACGCAATTTCGGGGAATAGATAGTTGCTGTCATCCTTAAAGTACTCTGGAATTTCGGATCGAAACAGAATCAAGATATTTCATGCAAAATAAAAACGATTTCATTTTAAAAAAACTGACATACCATATTTGAGGAAGACTTATTCATAAGAAAAATTTCAAATCAATTTCGATTTTTCTATAAGATCAGATGTTCTTTCTAAGCAATATTCGCTTTATCATGGCATAATGCATTGATTAAAAACTTACCTACTTCTTTCATCAATTATATTCAGCAATAACGCTCAACAAAAACAAAGCTTCGCATTGCGTTTCTAAATAAATAAAACTTTCAAAATAAAAAAAATCATGAGTTTTAAAAGATCTATTTTCCCATCCGACAAGGGTGCGGATATGAAATGGTGGTGTATACAAATAAATAGAAAACCCGTACGCATACCAAAATTCACATCTACACCCTTTTCTGCGAATTCTATTGACTCAATGGAAAGCATTCATCTGATCATGTCGCACTCAAGAAGAAAAATATAAACAAAGTAAAGCCGCTCTCCAATATAACACAATATTCCACAAGGGAACAATGGTGTTACTAATTTATGCAAACAGCACAAACACCCAACTTTGGAAAATCGCATATAAGTCATCTTGACAAACACTCACATCTTGAAGAGTTATGCACGCAAACACCGACAAACATCCACTTTGCAGGAGCCCTACAAAAAATAAACCGTCAACAAAGACCAAAAAATGACCCCTCTCAAGACAAACACCCAGGATCTCTCTTATAGTCCACACAAACACCCCAACTTGTCTTGACAAACACCCACAGAATTCCATAAGCTACATTCTGACACGGATAAGTGCCATCCCCAAGATACTTTTTGTAACAAACTTCCCTCTGGAAACATATAAGACCGACCCAAATATGTCTATAGACACCTACAAACACCCAGGATCTCTCTTATGGTCCACATAAACACACCAAGTTGTCTTGACAAACACCCACAGAACTCTATAATCCACATTCTGACACGAATAAGTGCTATCCCCGAATAACTTTTCTTGATAAACTTTTTTCTAGAAACATCTCTTAGTATAAAAAAAATCCTTAAGATAAGTAAAGATGCATGAAAACAAGAGACAGAATATAAAAACATTTGGTAATATTGAGTTAGATTACATAAACAACTTAACAGATCCAAATTAGATTTTCTAACAACACGAGAAAACTATAATTCAATCTCTGACATATAATTCGAAATACCTTGTTATGTATTTAATTCTAAAAACACTTAAAAAAGATGAAAAACACCTTAAAATAGATAATAATATTCGATAAAAATTCTATTAACATTTGAGTAGTAGTCAATTTATATTCCACAACATTAATAAAATATATAAATATTTCTTAATGTACAATTGCATCATATTCAAAACACTTTTATGTGTAATTCTTCCTTAAAGATAGCTAAAAATAAATGAAATACTCCAAAATATTCAACATGATCAAATTGATATGTTAATAGTATCTCATATGCATATATTATATTAATCATTGATATTTATCAGCAATCATTATCATCAACTCAAAATTATTCTAAAAACAATTTTATTTAAAAGATACGTGATAGAAGAGTTAAAATTTGCAAATTATTCCTATAGAAGGAACTGAACAAGGTACAATGTGTAAAATGAATTCTGTTATTTGTGATCACGCAAAAATATCAGTTTATAATGGTAATTTTAATTTTTTTTTACTTCTTTAAACATCATATGGTTATTTTGGATAAAGCTTCGATGAAATCTCGATGACAAACTTCAAGGGCTTCGGTCTCTTCTTCGGTAATATCGAATTTATCTCGCTTTAAAATGTCTCGTCGCATAGCAGCCTGAACTGCCAATCGAACAATTTGTTCCATATGTGCTCCGGTCATTCCTCCGGTACGGCGAATAATGTGGTCGATGTCGACATCTTCATTAAGTGCTGCATTACGAATAAGTACTTTTGTATGGATATCAAAAATAGCAGAGCGAGCGGCTGTATCTGGTAATTCAATCTTAATAACTTTCTCCATGCGTCCCGAACGAAGAAGTGCTGGATCGATTACTTCGAGAATATTTATTGTGCCGATTAAGAGAATATTGTCAAGATAAATCATTCCATCGATCTCAGCCAGGAACTGAGCAGTAACATTATCATGGACAGTATCACGTACTGAACTACTCTGTGTTCGATTTTTGCACACAGCGTCGATTTCGTCGAATACAATCGCATGTAATTTACTGTTTGAACCAAAATTCCGTTGATCTTGACGAGCATCTTCAAACAAATCTCGAATATTTTGTTCTGATTGATCCAGCATGGATGAAAAGATTTCTGGACCACGTATGACTTTCGGATTTACGTTTAATATATCACACACAGTTCGAGGGATCAGACTTTTTCCAGTGCCGGGTGGTCCATGTAAAAGAATATCTCGTATTTTATTTATATCCGTTTTAGCGACGAAACTTTGTGGATAAAGACGTGGAATCAAGACGTCGCCAAATATTTCTTCTAATATACTCTCCATTCCACCAATTCTGTTCTTATAATCGAATCGTTCGTTAATTATATCGAATAGTGTGCGTGAAGTTTTTTGGATGAATAACAGCGTACCAAATAACTGTGGTACTTCTTGAAATGATACTTCTTACGTTGAAAACGATTCAATGCGATTGCACCTAATGTAACGGTCGGTTTAAGAATAACTTCGAATTCGAAGACACCATATTTATTCAGAATTTCCACACGGTTTGTATGTGAAAAAATATTGTCTTCTGGATGAATCGCTACATAATTTACAACATTTTCATCGTAGTAGAGTGATGCTTCTATCACTGTTCGTTTTGCCATCGTAGTATCCATGATAATAACGTAACGCAACTGAATAAAAATTTTAAAAAAATAACCCGCAGCCGCTTTCTGTTTATGATGAAAGGCATTTATCAGTCACGTTCATAGGGATGAAGAGTAAAAAATAAAAGAGTAAGAGAAGAAAGAGAGCGCAGTCTTTTTTTTTCTTCAAGTGGTGATTACAACAACAATGTTAACAAACATGATGGTAGCATTAACACAAGTTTTTAGAACAACTTGTGCTATGTGTTATCTGCGAACAAACTCAATGCTATGCAATGTTTGCAAATCGGAAACTCGCGAAGACTTTTATCTCCTATTTCTGACGAGACTCAAGGACGAATGTAATGATTATTTTGGGTTGCAAGCGAAATGTATCGATATGCATGATGCAATTGATCATTATCGTGTACTTGATACTTCCATGGTGATGTTCGATGAAAACGTTCATACGGTTGATGAACATGCGAAGGAACTTCTTGAAGAGCATACCGCCATCTCGACCGATGAAGTAGTTCCTGTTACGGTGGCGGGTGATGGCGATTGTTTATTCCATTCGCTGCAAACGTTTTATCCGACGATGTCGATAAATGAGTTGCGTGCTCGCTGTATTGATGAATTATGTACACACGAACAGTACTATGAAACTATAAAGACTGAAATGGGCTTGGATATCGTTGATGACGAGTCTGTTCAAAATCATGTATTACGAATTATTAATAATCAACAATATACTGGTGTACTAACATTTGCGGCGTTGTCTACAGTTATTGGACAACCGATAGAATCAATATATCCTAGTGTCAATGAGAATGATGCTTATTGTGAAGTATTAAACACAGTTTTTATTCCGCGAAATAAACAATTATCATCGTCTGAAACTCCAACTCGTATAATGTGGCCAGGTCCCGAAAAGGAGGTAGATATAATTAGCTAATAATTAATTAGCAATTAATTAGTTAAAATTGACGTCAGATTTGGATTCCTCACTCCCGATTACCCTTTGGTGAAGTTTTATGGAAAACATTAATAATTAACGATTAGTTAATAATTAATTAATAATTGGTTAATAATTAATTGAAAGTAATCTCAGATTCGAGTTCTCCACCCCCGATTACCCTTTGGGGTTGAAACTTCAAAACTCAATTGAATTCAAGTTTAAAGTTTTATATATAAGACTTCTATAAGTGTCTCAATTCGAATTATAATTTTATAATTAGGATAAAATTTATCTTTTGCTTTTTTGCCAAGATAACATGAGTGCCGTTTTTTCGTTTATTTTCGAAGTGATATTAGGCAGTCGAGGGTTCATTTATATTTGAACTCGAATTAGGCATCGCATGTTAGATTATGTTATTTGTAACGATTATTTGATAATTTCAAAGGAAATTACATTATGATGTTTATATATGAAAAGATTATTTTCTAATTTTTGATTAAATTTCTAAGAAACTATATTCAATTTTGACAAAAGATTTTGATCTAATCAAACAAAAAAATATGTAATATTCTATTGAAAAATCATTGATTTCTCTTATAATGAATTCCATCTGTAACACTATTCGCCAGACATATGTTATTTATCGATAATAAAAAGGCGCGTGTTTTCTGTTCTCTTCGTTAAAATTCCAAACATTATGTGGCAAGAAGGTCAAGAAGAAAACGAAGATTTGTTTGATGATATATCAGAAAATTTTGTTTTATGTGCTTTACATCAAGGTGTGAATTAGATATTTTTGTTCTTTTTTTTTAATCATTCGAAATTTGATTTCTGTTGTTTTTAGCTAAAATATTACGTGAACGATGGAAATTTTGGTCTGGTTCAGTACCAGCTAATATTAGTGTAAGTTTAATTGTAGAGTTTTTGTTGAATTGTTTTTTTTTGTTTTGTGAAAAGGTTCGTTTACATCGATTGGAATCACTTTTGTCAATCAATGAAGAAAGTCAACAACGCAGATCAATATCAACAAATGTTCAACATAATATAGAATCAAAAAAAACATCTTCAAAAAATCATCAAATTGATATTCCATTAAACATGTCTGCAATTCCTTTACAACAATTATCAAAAATAAATTCATCTCAACCTTTTCTTGCTGAAATAAAAAATTCTTCATCAATTAATAAATATTTGACCGAACGAATTGAACCAAAACATAATATTATTATACAAGGTGTAAGTAAATTTTTTAATTTTATTTAATAAGAATAAATTTTAAAATGTTTTCTTTTTTTTTCTATAGCCTGATATTCGACGAATTATTGTACCAAAACGTCGTGTTCATTTTTGGTGTTGTCATTAAATATTTTTCTATGTTTTATTTACATTTATTTAATAACAATAAATTGAAATAATTAGATATCTATTTGATGATGAGATATACATTGAATATTTTTGTCTTTTATAATCAATCATTTGTAGAGATGCAACGATGAAGATCTCTGAAAAACTCTTATAACAAGTCGAAATACAACGAGGTAGTCTTCCACAAAATCCTTTTCGAAACAACTCTCAAAACCTCGACTCATCAATTTTGAGCTGTTATTATGCTTCTTAATGGTCTCTTTGTAATAGTGAAATCCCCAGGTATCTATCTTGCTCGTATCAAATGTCGATTATAAAATAGTTTTGTTGAAGAATATTATACAATTCTGTATTTTATTTTCTTGCTATTTATATTTATTATCACATTATAGTTTGAATTATGATATTACAAATATAAACTTCACTGTAACACTAAGGCACAAATTGGTTATATCAAATGCAAAGAAGCACGAAAAAAGAAACATATCTAAAATAAGGAGGAATATGGATGGATTGAATCCACATCCATCGAATAGAATTTCTTATCTACATATCAATAAATTCTAAAAACAAATCACATATCCATACAATATATCACATCCATGAAGGTGTTGGACATGGTGGATTGAACAAGCATTTAATACGAAATCCACCTTCATTTGAACGATTTAAGTCATATGAACGTGTTGATGGTGTACTAAAATTTGAATTTTTTTTTTATTCTGTTAATTTCAGTTTCAGAATTCTTACTATCGATTTTTAGTTGATTGTGATTGTCGATTGAACATAAATGGTGTTGGTACCATTCGCTGACTTTCAATACAAAAATCTTGTAATGTACCTGGTCGAAAACCTAAACAAACGATTAAGATAATAGTTACAAATAAATTTAAGTTCGAAAGAAACTGTTAAGAGACAGCATTTAGATAAGAGCTTTATCAGATTGGTGCATTAGCAAAAATCATCATAGTAATCTGAGTCAAATCGTAACAGTGAGGATATAGATCAACGATCAGTGGACACTTTTCCTGAATAACCAAGGACAACAGGCATCAGACTCCTTTTTTAAATAGTTCTTTAGAAATGGCATAAAAGCTCTGAAGGGTATTAACAACAAACGCTTAGGCAGTTCGAGAAGATTCCAAAGTTGTAGTTTTCGGCAATAATCAATACCAGTGTTTGTGTTTCTGAGATTATTAAGATATATAATAGCACGTTGAGAGCAGTTGTAGATATAATAGATGTGTACGACAAGCTTATTTGCCAGTTGAATTAATGGTTAGAATAGTAATAATAATAATAATAGTAGTTTAAGAAAATAGTAACAAGAGCAAATAAATAATAGAGCGCAGGTAAAAGAATAAAATTCTGTTCGAAATGCAAAACTAAACAAGACACATCGTTTCTCTTGTGATCAATTATTCTTGGAAAACAACCATAGTCTGCTAGAGATTTTTTCACTTAACAGATTCCATACTAGTATAGTGAAGCTGAAGCAGACATGTGCGGGGCTGCGCAGACAAGGATTTTTTTGTAGAATATTTATAATTCATTAGAAGCCGTAGAGCATTTCGTTGTTAGTAAAAACAAAAAAGTGAAATCTAGATTCGAGGAGCTATTGACTACTACGGACTAGTTTTTCCGTTATGTGCAGTAATTCGAGAAAGTATCTTGACTTTTTCAAATTAAAATTCTGAAAAAATATTTTATTCGTTAAAATTGTTAATAAAAACTACGAACAAAATTACTATGTCAGATATGACTGATTTTCAATACTTTCAGTGGCTTCTGGGAAGTAGTAATTTAGATTGAAGATTTCTCAAAAAGCTCTGAGATTGTATGTATGAACTTGGAAGATATTTTTTCTAATAACTACCTTTAGACAGAGCATGTTCTCTTGATGATGGAGAAGTTAATGTAGGTACACGTGGCATCCTACAACATACAATTTTAAAATAAAAAAAAATGGCATTGATTTAACATACGTATTATCAGATATTGGTCGAAATGATCGTCGAACAAGAGAAGAAATAATTTTTTCCATTCGACCTGATCGTTCATTTTGCATATTAGGTCCATTAAACCATTGTGATGCATTATGTACTGGTACATGTATACGATTGGTTGTTGTTGTTCGTCGAGAAGCAGATGATGAACGTTCAAAATCATGGACTATTGTTGATGTAGTAAATGATTGTTGTTGTTGTTGTTGCTGGTCAATAGATGAAATTGGTGGTTGTGATTGATCAGGCATAAGAAAAAGTGTTGATTCAATAAGAATAGGTGATGAAGAAATTGTTTCATTAGTTGTTAAATCTTTATTTTGTTGCTCTTGTTTTTGTTTTATTATTCGAACAGACATTGGACGTTCAATTATAATTCTAAAATAATGAACTTAAGAATAAAATAAAATAAATGAAGTTTTGTTTTTTTGTTACTCTTCAGTTGTGATCACTTGATTTTCAATAGTTGGATTTTGTTGTGAATTATTATTTTCTTCGTGATTAATATTAGATACGGGTGGTGGTTCAACAAATGCTTCTCTAGATTTTTAAGAGAAATATTATACAAAAAGAACAATACTGAATTTTAATGAAATATACTTTGGTTTATTATTAAGATCTATATAAAAAACATAAAATTAGATTTAGAGAAATAAGAAAATTTTGCGCGAAAAATCTTACTAATTTCAAATAATTTTGGTATTGGACGTTTTTTTTCAATTGATTCTAATGTCTAATAAATATTATAAAAAATAAGAAGAAATTTGTATAAATATATTATTACTTTTGATGGTAATGCTCGAGGTAGAGGAAGATTTCGAGATGTTTCTTCTCGTATTGTCGCCATATGTAATGTTATTCTTCAAAAAATAAAAGAATGTTTTTTTTTATAATAAAATTTATATAATTCAATTATATATACTTATCACCAAGTGCAAATTTTGGTCGCCAATAATCATGTGAAGCATCCCATTCAAAATTATTCATACTAACATAATTAGTATGATCATTTAATGATCCATTTTTTATCATTGAACCATTAACAGCAAGTATATGATCGAATTGAATCATTACTATATCACCATCAGGTATTGTTACAATACGAGCAAATGTTTGTGGTGCTGTTAGTATACGATCACCAATAGCTGAAAGATATCTATTTCCATAGTTTAATATTAAGACAAAAAAAAATATTATTTTTGTTTTTGTTGCTAAGATATTTTCGCTTTATAAAAGGAAAAAACACTTTTAATGCAAGTATAGTTTTCTATTGACTCGTCATTTATTTCGCTTTTGCCCAATTTAACATTACGATTATTCTAACCATTGATTAGACTGACAAATAAACTTGTTAGACGACCGGAGAGTTTTTAGACAAGATGTTTGTTCACTTTTGTTTAGCTCCTCTGAAATGCTTTCAAGCAGGTTAAAATGAATAAACATGTTCATCGGTCCATAAGTCCTGTCGAAACTCATTTTTTTTGACTTTTCCAAGATTATTTCACCGCTTTCCAAATAAAAACTGAGACAAAATTTCTCAGTCCATATTCGAAAAGAGAATAAACATCTTGTCTAAAAACTTTCCGATTACGCCTTTTATGTTAATCATATGTCGACTGTGACAAATCAATGCATCACTACTGGAAATGTGCAGAATTAATTTTAGTTTCAGGAGTGCGATAAAAATGTTGTCCCTACTAGAATTAAACATTATAGTTAAATAGCCATCGACTGAACTAATAAAAAAAAAATAAATATGATTAAATTCTGAAATAGTTTTCTCTAGACTGGAACCAACAAAAAAACTTGGTTTCACACATCTCTAATCATTATCCAGCATCTGTAACATCTTGCATAAAAATTTTTATCGGTGCAAAAACTAAAACTTACACTATTTAGAACATTCACAAAAGTATGCCAGCCATTTGAATTCTGAGGAGAGCCTTGGAAATAGTCTAAGTCTTGTTGTTAATACCAATCGGCACCTTTTTCTATTATTAAGGAAGGGAGACTGGAATTTCAGCCTACGGAATTTTCAGTCCGATTCGAAATTCCGTGGACCGAAATTCATGTAACATCTAAAGAACTCTGAGCAAAGAATCTGATGGCTGTTGCCATTGGTTGCTAGGAAAACATACTCAATGATCGTCTACTTCCTCCCGTTACTATTAAGGGGGGGGGGGGGGGGGATTTGTGATAACTATAGTAATAAAATTAGCTCGTAATAATGACTTACTAGGAATACGATGAATAGGTGCTCGTTGAGAAGATTTTGGTGATGATAGAATTCGTTCTTGTTGTCGTTTATTTGAATTGTCTTGTTCTGGTTTAGTCGTTTCCTATTAAATCAAATTTTCTTAACAAATCTTTTATTAATATTATACAAACTGCTTGTAATGGTTCATTTATTTTTTTTGTTTTTTTTGTTGATAATGTACGCATAGTCATTTTTAATATATTACCAAGAATTGGACTTAATAAATCTTTTTGTTCTTCAGCTGATTTCTAAATAAATAAATAAATATATATATAGACAAAAAAAATGAAGTTGATAGAAATCTATTTACTTCATCAGCAGTTAAATTTTTTAAAACATCTTTAATACTTCCATATGCTGGTGATCGGTCTAAAGCTTGTTTTAAAATTGAATTTACATCTAAGATAAATATATAAACATAATCGAAATAAAATTTAGTCTATAAAATTTACTTGGATTATCAATAAGTGTATAAAATAATGGACACATTATTAATATTTGCATTACTTCAAGACATACCATAGATTTTGCTTCAGAAACTCTAAAAAATAAAATATGAAATTTGATTGATTAATGTTTTTTTTTACTTACATACTACCATTTGGATAAGGTTGACTTGTATTTAAAGTTGATAATTGTCGTAATTGATTAGTAATAACAATAGAAAGACTATTAAATAATTTATCATTAAATGCTGATGGCTGTAAGAAACAAAATTTTAATTTAAGAAAAACAAAATTTCATTTTGATTTTTGTTTTTGATTTACATGATTTTCATCTCGATCAAGTCGTGTACCTGCATGAATCAATGATGCAATCATAGATTTTAATTCTTCACTTGATGAAAATATATGATCAATATTTAAATTTCTATTAATTTAAATTAATACATATATATTTATATGGATTAAATATATAATAAATCATACCCAATAGATTTTATATGTGTAATATCAAAAACATTATTTAATAATTCAACAGGTATTTCGAAGAGCATGTGAGTCTATATAAGAGATAAAAAATATGAATTGATCAAGATGAAATGTTTACCATTAAGAAGATATGTATTCGAGGAAAAGAATTTTCAAATGAATTTTTGCTGAGAAACCCTGATTTTTTCATAGGATCGCATTTTCGTTTTGATTTTTGGATTTTCTACCTAGATGTATAGAATCGTGAAAGCCAAGATCCTAGTTTTGACACTGAAAACCTTTACGTATTTCACTAATAAAGAGAGTGAGATTTTTGAAAAAGCTTAAAGTTCCCTCTGCAATAAAATCTTAGGTTTTTCCAATCAGTTTGGTTGGTAGTTGCTGTTTTGAATAATTGTAGTACAGAAGAAACTATCAAAACTTTGACTTTTAAATACATATGAATTATTGTTTAGGAACTATAAGCATTTTTATATAAGTTGTAAAATCACTTCCTTGATTTTAATATTAACCAACGCAGATAAAATTAATTACAATAAATCAAATGGAAATGTTTACTTTTATTTTTCAGCTACCGGTCACCTGGAGGATGGGAAGTTCGAACTCAAAAGTGAAGAAAACTGAATTAACCATTGGAAAGAACACGATCAGAAAAAGTTATATCAAAAGAGGATAAAATCCTCGAGCCGAGCGGCCCGTTTCGAGGTCTGATAGAAATAGCCACAGAAAAAAAAAACTGTTTTCATAGTTCAAAAGGTAGACAGATGTCCTAAGTCGTCCTTCCACTTCTGGCGATCTCGGAACATCCCTGCTCTCGAGAATATATATATTTATTGGTAACGAGATCATTGAATTTTTAACTTGAAAAAAAACTCGCAACTGGACAGTTGTTTTCTTCGTAGAGTTAATTCTGTTTTAAATATGAATTGTTATTTCACTTACAACAAGTAATATAAGGCACATATTAAATTCTTCAACATGATTTTCTCGTATATCAACCATATGATAGAGTATATGACGATTTTCCATAAGAAATTCATCATGTTTTCTAGTATTTCAATATAATTTTTTTTTAATTTTAAATTTAAATTTAAATTTCTTACTTTCCCTCATCATTTCTCATTTCTGTAAGTAATAAATCTTGAATTGTTGCAGCTAAATGTTTGATTCTTCTCTTGTCAAGTTCTATATTAAAAATAAAATCTCAAGTTTGATTTTTGTTTTTTTGTAATAAGAATAATTTTTACCTGAATTTACAAAACAATTCATTGGAAATTTAGCAAATAATTCTGTTGCCTATGAAAAACAAAATTTTTAATTAGTTTCAAAACACACCAAGATATTATTTTACCTTTGATCCAAAAAGTCCATTAATCGCACGATCTTTTAGATTTGTTGGCATAAATATATCACGTGCTAATTTATGTCGCTAGATAAAAACAATGATATTTAAGACTTGTAATCGAATTATTCGAGTTTTTTTACCACAGGTTTTTGTGCTAATGATGATTGTGTAAAAAATTCATCAACTTGATTGCGTTCAGAGGCTAAAGACAAAACAAGAATATTTATTTCATAAAACTAGTAGCGTCTTGTAACTGGGTCGGGTATCCGAAAGATGAGTTCAAGAGCGCAAAACCGTACCATACAGAACACAGCATAAAACTTACTTGAAACAAAAATACCATCACACATCCAAATACGTGGTAAACAATCAAGTACATGCTGACGATCTATAAAAATAGAATAGATATTTTTATATTAGAAATTATTTGTTTCTTTTTTTTTCTCATAACAATTTGAATCAGCATCCAATATAGTATTTCCATCGAGTCTTAAATCAAGTATAAACATATGACGAATATGTTGTAATTCAATCCATTGTAAACGATTATTTGAGAGTATAAGTGAACCAAGTGCTATAAAACGTGATAGATGTTGAAGACTTCGAATCTAATCATAGAAAAAAAACACAAATATGGATTAAAATAATTTCAAAAAAACAGATAATTTAATTATACTTGATTATTTCCAACATCAAGCTTCCATAAATGTTTAATATGTTCAACACCAGCTAATGTTGTTAATGAATTACCATTACAAATAAGTATTTGTAATTGTTCATATTGAGGCACTTGAAATAAGGTGACTATAACAAAATATAGGTTTTTTTTTCTCGTATGAGCATTCAAATTGACAACAACAACATCAGTGAAAAATTTATTTCTTTTTCTTCGATAAACAAAAGAGCACTATTTACAAAATACCAAGTATTACAAGAAATATTTTCTGAAGCAATACCAACAAAGTCGTCATTATTAGGCGGATTTCTTTCTCTTTCCAGATTTTAAAATCAAATTTTTTTTGTCTTTCGTCGCTAATATAGCTTCGAAGTGTCCTCTGTCAAATGCCATATAAATGAGCGCACATCATCTAGATCTTTCTACCTTGAAAATTTCAAATATTTCTAATGAATCATACTTAAAAAATTCCAAAAAACGAGATTCCCTTACGCCTTCCCTCAAAAAACAATAATATTTGTTAGAAAAGTCGAAATTGAGATAAATCCATGTGAAGATAACCTGAGATCTGATCTTTCATAAACAACATGGTTTTATATTTGGCACCTCATTTTTTGATGATTTCCGTCACTTTTTTCAGAAAAAGCGACAATTTTTCTTTGCTTTATCTCCTTTTCTGATCGCACATCTGAAAACTCGCGAAGGACCTTCGTTGGAGTCAAATGCTCTTGAACGTGTTATTCTTTTTCTCTGCTTAAAAAGAACAGATTTTTAGAAAAGGCACCGTACTCTGATATGCACTTTCAAATTAAAGGAAAATTAAATCTATTGAATAAGAGGCAAATTTTATTAGTCTCTTGACTTTAGTTCCAACATATCCTGAAAATTTCTTGCGATTTGAAAGTACTTGGTCCAAGATCGATTTTTGAGGGGTCTTGAAGAAACGATCTATACGAGACAAATGTGTCTGTAAGTTGAATCGAGTCGGAGAAGTTTACAAGGAAAACTCTCCAAATAATACAAAGCTTTTTAGACGAGACTTGCGTCATTAGATAGAGTATACTGAGACTAGATGAAAACCTATAATCATTCGTGCCCTTATTGCTATTCCTTTCAAGTTATGGTCATTCTACTGAGTTTTGTGAAACACGACATCAGAGCAGTATTGAAAGATAGAAGTAAAAATGTTGACCCCCCTCCCTCATTATTACATGTGACAGACATTACCATGGAAACATGACAGATGTCTTAGCAACGCCCTCCTCCCTCACAGACCCATGATTGATGTTGATGATTCACGATCACATACCGTATATTAATAATGTATTGTTATAACACATGAATTACCTATTGCATTTCTAGAGGACTAAGTAAAAGGATAGGAAAGAAACATGTCCCAAAATAATCTCTTCGTGATTAGCAACGGTAACTATACATTTTAGTTCGGCAAGGATTGCTCTAACAGCTTTGTAGCCTAGTGCAAGGTATGTTACAGCAAAAATTCAATGTTGTTATTTCGATCTAAAATTTTCCCATAAAGAGGTCTCATGGATTCTATCATACATCGAAAGTTTCAATTGCAACGAACGTTTACTTTTTCAGAAAAACTCGATTTTCTTCTAAGCCTGTTATTCCAGAAAGAAAACATTCATTGCAGTTGCAACTTTTAGTGTATGATAAAGTTCATACGATATCTCTATAGGAAAAATTTTAGGTCGAAATGACTTTTTTATGATACACTCGGTACTAGGGTAGAAACTCAGTAAATTGACCATAACTTGAAAAGAAAGCAACAAGGACACCTAATCTTAATAATAAACTAGGTGACCTTGAATCTGATCACAGAATATCATTCTCTTAATTTTTAAATTTAGTCACATTGTCTTGAAATTTCTACGAAAATTATTAAATTTTCAAGATGTTCATTATCAGTCTTTGATATAAAATCTTATATCAGTACAGAATATACCTATAAGATTCTAATCATTGTATTACAATCCTAATTCGAAATATCTTATGACGCAGTATTTTCTCTTGAATAAAAGACAATAAACCACAGGAAACAAAAAACCTCCAAGTTCATTTGTATTCTTTACTCATTCACATGTTTATAATCTCATTATATTTAGATGTACTTTAACACTTTCAAATTGCAAACTTCAAATGTTTTGTATTCTTTTTTGTAATCAAGTTTTTCATTTTTTCTTTTGCTATAAATAGAAATTAATTTTTACCAAGCACTTTTCACTACATAAAATCATTTTTTCTTCTCAATTCATTTTAAATGTCTGAGAAAAAAGTTTGCTTATATGATTTAATCATACATATGTACATATAAAGAGTGTTTTATGTGGAAACAATGCATTATAATATTTAAAAATAATTCTTACTTATTCTTGTATTATTAAAATTTGCATAATTACTCTTCTCCTCGTCATGATTGTTTCTATTTAATGGTACCTGATATTCAAAAATAAATATATTCTATAGTTGTAGAAAATATATTCGTTAAAACAACAACAACAACTCACTCGAATAGGAGCCTTCATAGTTATCAACTAAACATGATGCGTTTAAATCGTTTAACAAATCTATAGAAAACTGATAATGAAAATTATTTTATTTCTTTTATGAATTTAAATAGAAATAAAGAAAAAGAAATAAAAATTATATGAGATAATTATTTCTATAAATCAGCTGTTCTTTATATATATGAATGACTTCATATAAGACATTGATTAGAATATCCATTCACGTATTCTGTTTCCTAGCAACCACCTTTCTTTTACTATAAAAAGGAAAAAAAAAAAAAGATGCTTGTCTGTCATCATACGATAGTAGCGCTCATACGAAGATTCGCCAGAAATCTTACAGTAATTGGTTTGTTTCTTTTCGAACATACGTAAAAGATATGGATCAATAATATTTCTAGGTTATAATTTTGTTTATTAATTAGAAAAATTTTGATAGGATGAGTGAAAGTCTTCGTCAACGAAAAAAAATCAATGAATTTGATGTTCAACCATCAGGTGATGATATTGATCGAAATATTCCAATTGATCGAGATGATCGTCAATATCGTAGTCAATCTTCAACACCAATTTCGTAAGATATTTTCTTTTTTTTTTTGTTACAATTAAATATTTAAAAATTATATTCTTAATTATTTCATTCTTGTTAAATGTATGAGTAGGTGTCAATCTTTAATTTGACATTAGTGCTATGGAAGATACTAGAAAAACTTGAATGAATAAATATTATTTCGAGTTATCTATTTGATATGAAATCTAAAAATATAGACAAAATATAAATTATTGATTTGATCATAAATTTTTCTTCTTATATTTAGACAATTGTGCTTGGGTATAATAGCAATTGTTATGATTGCTCTATTAGCTTTCATACGTTTTGCATTACCTCATGAAGATCATATGACGAAACAGTATGAATGAAAATTGTAGAAATTCAAATATTTTATTGTTTATTTTTTTAAAAGTTTTCCAGCTTCATTACCAACAATGGATGGTGGACCTTTACTTGTAAATGATTTTCTTGCTCATAGTGAACGAATTTATATTGGTGAAGGACCAGAATCAATCGAACCATTGAATGGTAAATTTTCTTATTGATTATATTAAAAGAAAAAAACAGAACAAAACTAACTAATTAGGTTTACTTTATACCGGTCTAAAAAATGGTTCAATTGTTGAACTTGATCCTATAACAAGAAAAACTCGTATTATTTATTCATCACTCAGTGTTGATGATCATTTACTCAATTGTGGTAATTAATCTACATATATATTTATTTTGATAAAATACATTTAGATTTATATTCAAGGAAAAGATAATCTTGAACATGTATGTGGTCGTCCATTGGGTATACGTCGTTTTTCTGATAATGAACTTATTGTTGTTCAAGCATATCATGGTCTATTTAAACTTAATGTTCAAACAAGTATGTTTTTAAAATTATGTATCTTATAATCTGCAAAGTGTAAAAAAAAATCATATTTTTATAATACTCAGTCGAATAGATGAATTTATTTGCATTGTTTTTCAAATGGGAAAAATATGCTCATAGGAAGAAATTGATTTGTCGCGAGTCCCCGTTATTGTGGCCCAAGATTGGAATGTTTTCTCACCAATATCTGACACTTTCTGTAACCATGAACAAGTGAAGGATTAAGGTTTTATCTATTTATTGCCTACTCTCAGAAAAAAAGTCAGCGTGCAATTATTTCGCATTGTTCACTTCCATATTGTTCGATGCTTAATAAAATTAAAAGTTTTCACTTATGAGAGAACTATCAAAACTGTTTTAAATAAAACAATTTTCTATGAAATAATGTACAAATGTTGTTGCTGTTGAACTGAATTAAAAAACTCAATAAGAAAGAATATGGGTTCTAATCTACGGCTTCACATTTTTTGTGGATTCGGGTCTGGCAGGCCATACAACTACCTGCTTTTATCTGCGTTGTTTTTCTTTTGTAGAGAAACTTACTCAATTGATTAGTGCAGATGATCAACGATTTGGTTCTCGTTCACTACGTTTTGTTAATGATGTTGATGTACTTGATGGACGTTATCTTTTTTTTACTGATTCGGATTGGTTTTATCCACGAAAAGAATTTATGTCTGTTCTACTCCGAGCTGATCCTCGTGGAAGGTAATTTATATAATTTAATTCTTTTTTTTTTGTTGTCTTAAATTGATATTATAATTTAGATTGATTCGTTTTGATCTTGAAACTGGTAAAGTACGTATTCTTGATGATCAATTATCATTTCCTAATGGTGTACAACTTTCTGTTGATAAACAATCAATATTAGTTTGTGAAACAACATTAGCTCGAGTTATGCGATATTGGATTAGTGGTGATTATACGAAAATGGGTAAAAGTGAAATATTTATTGATAATTTACCTGGTATACCTGATAATATTCGATTAACAAGTACTGGAAATTATTGGATTGCATTTGCTTCTATTCGACATGAAAATCAACCAAGTTTTTTAGATCGTTTACGTAATTGGCCTCGATTACGAACAATACTTTCGGTGAGTTTAAAAAAACGATATATTTTTCTGTTAAACGTATCTTATAATTAATGTCAAAGTAGATAATGAAAACTTTCTATATTTTGTATATTAAATTCGTTTTTTAGTACATGCCAAGTTCCTTGACGAGAATACATAAACGTTTACCACATCATGGTCTTGTTATTGAGCTTGATAAAGATACTGGTCATATTATTCGTTCATTACATGATGCTGAAGGTTTAGTTGTTCCATCAGCTTCACAAGTTACTGAATACAATGGTCATCTTTATTTTGGATCATATTATTTAAATCATATTGCAGTATTCAAGCTCTAGTCTTCTTATTTCATTAACTATGCATTAACTTTTTTGTTTTTTTGTTTTCTTCTTATATTAATTTTTAGCGTTGTTTTTGTTTTCTAATTATTTTATTTTTAATCTTTGTTATTGACAAAAAAAAGTAATGATAATCATAAAGTTTTTTCTAGATTATGCTTTCGTGTTTGAAAAATGCATGTTGTTTGCGATTTTTACAAGGCACTCATTATCCCGATGTTATTGTTTCACATCGACCTGAAGTAATACTTGATACTTCTCGAATGGGTCAAGATGTAGTCGTAGTTAAAAATGGACGACGTTTATGTGGAACTGGTGCTGCTGTTGCTGTAAGTTTATTATTTATCTTTGTTAAATTTATCTTCATAGATATTGTTTTATTTTTAGAATGCACCAATCGTACAAAATAAAGCATATTTTGAAGTTAAATTACAAACACAAGGTTGAATAAGATTCTCAATTTCTTAATTATTTCATTGTATGTTTATTAATAGGCACATGGGGTATTGGTTTAGGAACCCGACGAACAAATTTATCAAAAGTTCCATTAGGATATGATTGTGAAGCATGGATTATGGATCAATATGGTCAAGTTAAACATGATAATAAAGTTCTTAGTCAATTTGGAACAGCTATAGAAGAAGGTGATGTTATTGTAAGTATAATTTAAATGAAAAATGATCATCTAAGTTTAAACATAATTTAAACAGAAACTTCTCTGATAATAAAGGATGGTCGAAAAAGTGGCGAGATTCACCATGCTGAGTCGAATAGTGATATTAGTTTTTAGGTTCGAAACGATTTGACTCGATTATTTCAATATTTCTCAAATTTCACAATCAACCTCCATGTAACGAAGGAGTCAATATTTCGAAGATCTTCTTGAATAACAGATTTCTATTCAATCTCGACGATGTGTTATGTAAAATGTTTTCTTCACATTCTTTTCACAAAACAGATGAGAGAAAAAGATACATATATATATAACTCGTGTATACTAAATATATTTCCTATAGCTCAAATGTTTTAATCCCAAGCTAATTCATTAGCGCATTTAGCATGAACGGATTTTTCCAAAGTTTTCACATACGTCGCATGATAAGCTGGCAGAAGAGTGTCAAATACCGAGTATTTGAGTAAACATCTGCCTTGTCCCTCATGATGCCCATTGAATTACTAGGAAGAAATGCTTGAATCGGCTACTAATCCTCATTAGTTATTTGAACAATGAAAAATTTAATTATACCACTAGGTAGAGTTCGTCAAGTTATACTTTGACAAGAACAGAAACCTGCTCCTAGACAAATCGTTGGCATATTTACTATAGTAATTCCAAAACTCTTATACTGATCTACCAGTATTTTGAAGTTGTCGAAAATATAGATTAGATTATTGGAAATCTAATTATACCATTGGATAGAGCTAGCCAAGTTCCACTTAGGACATTGACTAGGAGCTTTTGGATGAATCGTCACTGGAATTATTCGAATCTGCTACTAACTTCACCTACAGCCTCGAGACAAAAGTCTTTTCCTCCTCTTTCTTATTATGCTATCATACTTCATGGACATCAAATTTATTACCAAATAAAGATAAAACTCTTCTGTCATATCTTTATTTGGTAATAAATTTGACGAGCATGAAGTATGATACCATAATAAGCAAGAGAAGGACAAGACTTTTGTCCAAGGTGTATGCTTTGTAAAGTCACAAAGTCAGTCGTCTTTCTCTTGTGTACCTTTTTCTAACCACTTTTTCGAATGATCATAGGTCAAATGGGCTGAAATCAAAGGTCTCAGGAAAAGTTTTATAACTCTCAAACGGAACAAGGCCGAAATATTGACCTTGTCTATATCAAAAGAGAGGAATTTTTTCTATTGATAATTTCTATTAAACGTCCAAATAGCTTCAGAAACTCGTTTTCAAAAATTTTCATCAAGAACTCATCTGATTGATCAATTGGTAATCAATCAAATTTTGATATACTTCGATGCCCCTCTTCCCAAGTCTTTTCTCTTGAATAGTGAAAATTGTAGGTTTCTATCAAAGGTTATTCAGAAAACAGTGGTTTATTTTTTGAGAAGATGATAAGTTTTAAAAAATAGTCTTATATAATATCAAACAAAAAAACGATTCCCCGGAGTTCTCCTCTTTGAATTTCTGAAAACCACAGGTCGCTAAGTATTGCAATTATCGAGTTATTGGACTTAAACCTACTCCTATTTAATTCGGGCACGAACATTAGTTTGAATCTTAGATCTCTAGAATGCTTTGGAATTTTCCGCATGTGGTTAATATGATCTTCAAAAATATATGTGAGTTCCACAATATAAAAAGAACGAAATTTTATGTTTAATTCAATTAAACTAAAAATGTACAATATAACAAATTCAATTCAACGATAATATATTTATAAATATATGATAAATTTTATTTTTGTTTCTAAATAGGGTTTTGCATATGATCATGAAACATTTCGCATTTTTATTAATGGAACCGAACAAGAACCACCATGTCGTGTAACTACACGTGGCCCTGTTTTTCCGATTTTCTACGTTGATGAAGGTTAATATTATTGATTAACAAGAATTCTTTTAATTAAATTTTATTATTTTTAATTTTTTTTAATAGGAGCAATACTTGATATACAATTTTCAACATTTTATTTTCCTCCACCAGAAGGCTATGATCGTATTTTATTAGAAAAATCACTCATATAAAAAATAAATACCTAGAAGTATTTTGTTTTTTTCTTCGCAACAGTGACTACTTATCTTGTATATGAATCCTAAATACGTTCTTTGAATACTCATTGGTTGTTTTATTTATTTATTATTCAGATATTTATTATAGTTGTTGTTTTTTTTTCGTTTTCTTCTGCAACAAAAAATCTTCTATATATATATATATATTCTTTTCAAGATGTATCGATTATATATTCGTCGTTGTTCATCAACATTTTTTCATCAATATACAGCTAAAAATGAGCCCGTATTGGAATATCGACGTAATAGTAATGAACTAAAACAAGTACAAAAGGTTCTTGATGAATATAAATCAAAAGTAACACGTGTACCATGTATTATTGATGGAAAAGAATTTTGGACAGAGGATATTCAAAAACAAGTTTTACCATTTGATCATAAACATGTTCTAGCTGAATATTGTTATGCTGATAAATCACTTCTTGAAAAAGCTATTGAACGTGCAGTTAAAAATCAACCAAAATGGGATTTAATGCCTATTGAGCAACGTGCTAATATTTTTCTTAAGGTTTGTTGTCGTTTTCGGTAATTGATTAATTTATTTTTTTTTGTTTTGTACTATCTAATTTAGGCAGCTGATCTTGCATCAGATTTAAAATGGCGTTCTCATTTAGTAGCAACAACAATGCTTGGTCAAGGTAAAACAGTATTTCAAGCTGAAATTGATGCTGCTTGTGAATTAATTGATTTTTGGCGTTTTAATGTTCAACATCTTGCATCGGCAATGACTTATCAACCAATAAGCACTGGAGATTCTGATAATAATTATCAATATCGAGGTCTTGAAGGTTTTGTTGCTGCTATATCACCATTTAATTTTACTGCTATTGGTGGTCATCTTGCATCAGCACCAGCACTTATGGGCAATACTGTTCTATGGAAACCATCAGATACAGCTACGTTATCAAATTATATAGTATATAAAATTCTTGAAGAAGCTGGTCTTCCACCAGGTATTATTCAATTTGTACCATCAAAAGGAGTAGATTTTGGTAAAACAATTACACAATCACCTGATCTTGCTGCTATTACATTTACGGGTAGTACAACAACATTTAAAGTAAGTAAAACAAAAAAAACCACATTCATTCGTTGTAGGATATATGAAAAAGGAATATTTATGATAAGACAAAATGATTATAATACAATAGAAAACAACGTGGATTTTTTGTGATTTGGATAATGTTCAATAGGTGACTTTCTAGAAAAAAAAAAAGAAATTATTTTAAGTCTTTCAAACATTTAAAAAATATTATGAGGCAAGTCAAGATTATGCGCATTCACATAGATCCTAATGAACTATGAATATTTTGAAAAAGGTTCAAGCCCTTAGAATATTGCTGTCAGAAATGCTACAGCAACAGGGGTGGCATCGATAGATATCGGAATTTCACCAGTTGAAAGTTTTGAAACATCTTCTTTGTTAACCGTATTTTCGGCCATAAAAACTGAGGTGTCACATATTTTTCTGTCAGAATGCGTAAAAAGTGTTCAAAACATAATCATTTGTTCTGAGATTCTCTTTGAAAAGGTTCATTATGATGAGTATCTTTTACATACGCTCCTGAACTGTTTCGTATTTGGAGCCGTTTTTCCAAAAAATTCGTCATTTATTCACCGGATCGAACCAGTTTACCATTTCCCAACCGGTTTCAGGTCTCAGCTCAGAAAAATAGATTGTCGACTTGAAGCTTTTCATAGAGACAGACCTTAACGAGAATAGGTCATTGTGAAACTGTTCTAATTAAGATCCGTTTCTATGGAAAGTTTCAGCCGTATATCCGCACCAATAAGCTGAGGGTTAGAACTTTTTCCAGGATATTCGTAATTCATTGTAGGCTGCATGATGCACTTAGTCTTGTCTCAAAACTCAATTAATCAATTGGGAGACTTCGATCGTTAGGCCTAAAAAGTGGTCAGGTTTCTATCATGGTACATAGAAGTATATTTTTCTAAAGAAGGTCGAAAAATCTAAGATATAGATCACACAGATTCTGAAAGTAGAGTTCTCGTTCTATAGTTTCATAATAATAGCTTTGTTCTAACACTTTCTCTATTAGAAAAAAAGTAAGTATTCTTGCTCTACTAAGAATTTTCTATTAGAACTTTTCTTTTTGGATCTCATGAATTTATTTTTTCTAAGTATTACCAGCTAATATGATATTTCTATGGGAAAAAGAAAACGATTTCCACAGAAAATAATTCATATTTACGTACTCTATTTATATCTGCTCACTATGCATGATTCATTAGAATATTGAATATAAACGATTACTTGAAAAACTAGTAATTTATTGTTTCTATAGACTCTATGGAAGTGGGTAGCAGAAAATCTCGATAATTATCGAACATTTCCACGTTTAATCGGTGAATGTGGTGGTAAAAATTTTCATTTAATTCATCCATCAGCTGATTTAACAACTGTAATTAATGGTACAATACGTTCAGCTTTTGAATATAGTGGACAAAAATGTTCAGCTTGTTCTCGTGTTTATTTACCACGATCATTATCAAATAAATTTTATTCACAAATGCAAAATATCATAAAAAATGAATTACGTATTGATACACCATTAAAATTTGATACATTTACATCTGCTGTTATTGATCGTAATTCATTTAATCGTATTCGAACATCTATTGATTTTGCACGGACATCACCAGCAACAAAAATTATTGTTGGTGGTGAATATGATGATTCCGTAGGATTTTATGTTAAACCAACATTAATTGAAACAACTGATCCAAAAAATAAATTAATGCGTGAAGAAATTTTTGGACCTGTTGTTACAATTTATGTTTATGATGATCAAAAATTTGATGAAACTGTTGATTTAGTGAATGATACAACAAATTATGCTTTAACAGGTTCAATTTTTTGTCAAGATAAAACAATTCTCGAGAAAACTCGTGAACGTTTAATACATACAGCGGGTAATCTTTATTTAAATGATAAATCAACTGGATCTGTTGTCAATCAACAACCATTTGGTGGTGCACGTTTATCCGGTACGAATGATAAAGCAGGTGGACCTCATTATTTATTACGTTTTACATCGCCGTTGACAGTCAAAAATATGAAAGAACCATTAAAAACATTTAAACATGTTTCAATGGAATAAGATCTTCTCTGTTTTTTTTCTCTCTCCTATTGCATCTGAATTTTTTCAAATTATGTTATTCCAGTCCATTGTGATCTGACTAAATTGTTTTTGTAGATTCTCAATAAAAATTAATCTTATTTTTTAGTGTGTGACGTTATTAATAAATTTTTTCAAAATGTATTGAATAACGTTTTTTTTTCTTGGAAATTAAAGGCAAAATATAAAACAGTCGAAGAGTAATCTCTCCGGGACTAAAATATGAAACACGATGTAGTTTTTGTTGTTAATCACAGGGAGATTATTTTGGGGCATATTTCTTTACCATGTTTCAGAAATCCTATAAGTATTTCATGTATAGGATAACAAGACATTATTAATACATACATCATTTTTTAGATCGTGTTTCACAAAAAAAAACATGGATATTTTGAAAGAGTCATATCTCGGCGAGACTTGGTCAAAAAATGCCGAAATTTTTTTCTACTGGCTAGTCTAATCATTATCTTTATGTGGGCAAAGTTTCAGATTGAAATTCAAAATTATAATTTCGTTTGAAAGCTTCGGTCCTGCAGGAAAAATTCACTAAAAGTTCGATATCACAATAACAAAGGATCAGGTGTTCATAAATCCTGTCGATTGAATATAGCTTCAGCTCGAAGCCAATTTATCACTTTGCAACCTCTCCTTGTTAGAGATTAAACTTTTTTTTTGTATGCTGTAAAGACTAGAAAAATCCTAAAAGAGTTCATACCCATAGTCCTGTGGAGCCAAGTTATGACCTTTTTACTGAATCTTCGATCCAGCTTTAGGTATTTACCGAAAAATCAAACAATGGAATTTCGACGTGAAATTTTGCTCATAGATAGATCTGATGACTCTGGGAACATCCTGAAAGTTTCAGTCGAACAAAATGTTCTTTTGTTGAGATATTGAATTTCCAGATAAAATGGCCATTTCAAAGAAAAATCTGGTTTACTGGAAAACTCAATATCTCGATAAAAGAACATGCCTTTCGGCTGAAACTTTTAAGATGTTCCCAAAATCATTAAAACTATCTATCGGCAAAATTTCAAGTCGGAATTCTGTTATTTGATTTTCGGAAAAATATCTCATGCTTGATTGAAAATTCAGTAAAACGATTATAACTCGACTCCACAGGTCTATGAGGATGCACTCTCTTAGATTTTTTTCTAGGCTAACCAAGATCGCCTTATGAACTTAATATGAGTTCAAACAGTAAAAATCAGTTCG